CTCTTGGGAGTTTTCAGGGATTCCCAAGATAGATCTTGAATAGCTGTGTGGGATAAAGGCAGAGATTTTTTTTTCAGAACATATTTATTTTCTGATATTGGAAGCAATCCTGAGTTAAATATTCCAAGAAGCCTGGGTCTTTCCTTAGCAAACCTCCTCCCCAAAATAGACTCTGTATGGAAGATAAGCTTCTGTCAACTTTTGATCTTGAAAAATCCATTCAAGTTTAAATCACATTCTGCCTGTGTTATCCAGAGTGCTGGACAGACTTTTCTAGATCTTTTCCAGCCTCTGTGCTGTTTCAAAACGTGTGTTTTGTGCCACAGTTTTCCAGCTTCATTGAGGTTTTGCCCCAGTTAAGCCCAGGAGGAGCCTGAGCAGAGCTGCTCTCTCTGCCTCTGTTTCTCTCAGCATTGCAGGGCTCCCCCAGGAATATGTATGATGCTATTCTCACCGTGTCAGGGACGAAATATTTCTATAAAATGCCCTGGAAATGAAAGCTCTCTGCATTGTCAGTGTGAAAATATGCTGAAGGCATGCATGACTGGACATGCAAATATAACGAGCTGCTGGGAAGTTTAATTTTGGAGATACATGGTATTGACTGACAGTGGTGTAAATGGCACACGGACCTCTGCAAACATTTACTGTCATTACTTGTCACTGCTGGATTCTTAAGAGAAAAGAAGTCGAGAACAGTGCTACAGAGAAGTAAGAAATCATTTTAAGTGTCTCCCAAGCTCTTTACTTTGTCTAATAGGACAGAAGATATCTCTGGATCCCTTTCTAAACACGCTTCAGACAGCATGAACTGTATTAGAAAAGCCTCATTCTTGCTGTAGATAGAGGGAGATTTTAATAGCAACAGGGTTATTATTCCAACTAAATCAATAGAGGGAGTTTCTATCTTGTTTAAGAAAAACGGACTGTGACTGCTGGAGCAGTGGGAAAGGAGAGAGATGCAAATAAGACTAATAGCTAAATCCATAGTAAGACACAAAGGCACCTTTGAAAGTGCAAATTCCCTTCTTGCCCTCCCAGTCACGGAAGGTTTTATTGCAGGTGGTGTTGCAGTGTGGTCTCCCCGTCAATGAGAGCACTCTGCCTCAGCAGCAGCGTCCTCTGCCCTGGCAGCTGTGAGCAAGGCAATATTTAGACCATGAGGAAAAGTCAAGAGTCACTTTTGGTGACATTCCTCAACTTATGTCTCTTAATTTGGTGGAGATATTCAGAATGCACTTACTGCAAACTTCTGATGGTAGGTGACCACCTGGACCCCCGGAGAGCTTTTGATCCCAATACAATTAATGTCTGAGGAGGAGAAGGAAAAGGCACCCTAGATCTGTCTCCAGAAAATCCATTCTAATTGATACAGCATCCTCAATCTCCTTTCTCTCATTTCAGCAGCAGTTCAACTTTAGAAGTCTAAAATTTCCATGAGGGACTGAGAGTGCTTTGAGAAGATTTCAATTTTCACAATGAGCAGCTTCCTGAGAGATGAGGATCTGAGGACTTGCAAATCAAGCAAGGAGCTGAAACCCATTTGTCTCTGACATTCCACAGGAATATTTTAATCATTAGCTCTTGTGGAAGAGTGGGTAACACTCCTGCCAGACATCTTGTGAATTATCTGTATTATTTATTTATAGAAAACACTAAAGCTCCTGGGGTTAGGGAGGTGAATCCTACAACTCAGAGAAGTTATCAAGAATCTGATTGTTGGGAGATTCAGGGCACCTGCCACCCTGATGTTTTATTTTGGCTGGTTTTTTGGCCTCTGCTCTGTGAACTGGCTCTTTTAAGGGGTCTAATATTCATGTAATCAGTTTAGATATTTACCTGAGGCACTTGTTTACTTTGAGGTCTAAGGTGCCTAAAATCAGGCATTGTGTAGCCAAGCATTGCATTGCACACTGTTGCTTTGTAGACAATGCCAAGACTTCAAACAACTAATTGAAATCATAGAAGCAGAAGGAAAAAAAAAATCTATTAAATACCCCCTATCATATCTTCCAGTCAGTGCAGGGGTATTCTGCAGTGGTTAGTGCAGTCTTCTAAAATGCCCCTCGAAAAAATTGGCTCCTGTACTGGGGAAGCAAAAAGTAAGAAAGACTGCTGACACTGTGGAATGATTTTTGTTTGTTAGGAAAGCCCACTTTGTGGAGGTGAGGGGGAGGGGAGAGAGAGTTTCCTCCAACCATTACAGCTCCATCAGATGCAATATTATCCCAGTAATGATTGTTATGCCTAATAGTCATGGACAGCAACTTTATTCATCCCAGAAAGTGCACAAAGGAAAGCAGTGCCTCAGTCTCTGAGATACGAGGCTTCCTCTGTTAAATTTGCCATGGATGGTTGGGCTCATCAGTTTGCATGCATCTCTGACTGATACATCATGCTGGAAGCTTTAGGCAAACACACACTAATTAGTAGAACAAATAGAAAACCCCGAGGATGCCCATGCTTAATGACATTGCCCATGCTCTAAACCATCTCTACAGCAAATTACTCATTTCATGGCTGTAGGCAGTGCAGGTCAATTTGTCTGTATCAGTTGCTAAGTTGAAGCTTTCACTTTTAGCAAGATACTGTCTTATGCCTTTCCAGGAAACTTTACAATGCTTTTGAACAAAAAAGTACCAGAAGGTACAGACCAGGCCATTTCAGGGATTAAAAAGTAAGGGACATAAAATCTACTAGAAGCTAAGAGTCAATAGATTCTGATGGATTAGTTACCATATAAAAGCCAAAAAAATCTGAAAAGGACTAAAAACACTTTGAGTGTTGAGTTAGAACACAACACTGGCCCAAAACAAAGGTGGATTGTGCAGTTCCTGCCAGGAATGCTTTAGTCAGGTAATTGCTTTTCAATCAATCTGAGCAAAAGAAATGAGAAGTCAAATATGGAGAATTAATCAAATTCACAGGCATCTTTGACTGAGGAACCCACATAAAGCAAAGCTTGTTCTCATAAATGAATGAGGTGAAGATCATGGTCAAATGAGACCCAAGAGTTTATGACATTGCTGAACTGTAGGCACTTAATTACCCACATGAACATGGGTCTTTGGAAGCATGAAACCAAATATCCTGCATGACTGTGCCAACTCAAGGCTTCAGCAGCAAAATCAGGCTGAATATTGTTGCCTTAAAGAGGATGGATGGATCTGCCCTCGTGCTGGCAGGCTGGCTGGGAGGCAAACAGTGAAGGGAGCAGACTGAGTGGGAGCACAGGACCTGTGTATTACACTGGAGAGTCAGGATTGCTCAATCCCCTTCCTCCAGCAGGATGAGAGGAACAGGAAAAGCATCTTGTGCTGCAAAGACCTCTCAACCTCCCCTAATCAAACTCTTTTCTCAGCAGTGGAAGTCTCTGCAGTCAGCCCCTGTCAGCCACTGTAGTAGGTGTCTATGGAGGCATGTCCTCATGAATAGGATTTTACCACTCAGTTTGGTACCAAAGCTTTGCTGCCACCTCTTCACAGACACAGTGGATGGACACAGATCCAGCAGCTCTGTGTGTGCAGCAAAAGCTAAAATCTCACCCAACCAATCCCATCTTTTTTAACATAATCTTTAGAGAATGAAGAGTTTGAGGCTGTGACAGTTTACGGTTTTGTAAGTGTCTAACAGAGACTGGAATATAAACAGGCTTACAGTAGCAAAGCTCTTGGCAAGTAATCTTTCAGAAAATAAAGGTCCTGCATCCTCACAAACACCGTAAATAAACACCTTTATTGGACACACAACATGAGGTTGTTGGTAATCAATTTTCAAAGGTAAGTTTGGAACCCAAAAATTTGCAAATCTGATGCTAACAAATGCCTTAGTGGGGTCCTGGAGGACTTCAAACTGCTTGCTGTTTCTCTTACTTCTTGGAAGTTGTGCACAAATGCAGTTCATCCATCTGCTACAGTCCTATCCTGGAGAAAGGAGTGAGAAAGGGATTTGTACCCTCTTGTGCATCTGTCACCCTGAAAGTATTCAGGTCCTGCTTGAAGACCTTTCCTGCTTTCTCCTCCACTTACAAAGCAGTGGAGGGAGAGAAAGAGAAGAGCAGCATTTTAGGAGTTGGGGACCCCAGGGGTCTAGGCTCACTTTCTTTTTCCCACCGTTGTAATCTTCTTTAGTGGATTTGGGAAGTCATTCAGCGCCGTGGCGCCTCAGCGTGCCTCCTGTAAAGGCAGAGCAGCGAGCCCAGCTCCCTGGATTTTCCCGTGTGGGAGCGGAGCGAGCTGCTGGGAGCGCCCTGCGCTGCTCTGATGTGCGCCGTGCAGGCTGCCGTGGAGATGGAGCTCGTGTTTCTGGCACATCCCTCCTGTCTCTCCCTGCTCCGTGGTACCCAGGAGCTGCAGGCGATGCTCCTCGCTTGTGCAGCCAGCCAGGGCAGCGTCGCTCGGTCCGCGCTGTTTAGTTGGCAATGTTTGCCGTGTCTGCGGCTCGGAGGAAGACGGGAGGGTGGAGGGGTGTGGGGAAATTCCTTGAGCCTTGTTATCCCTACAGTAACTATAGACTTTGGCAGGAATGCGGGTGATTAATTGCGGGTCTGTGGGCTCAGCTCTGCGCTGGGTGTCTGGGAGACAGCAGCGTCCCCTCTTTCACCAAACCCTGCGAATCCAGCTCGCCTAAGTAAACACCGCCGAGCTGCTAATCACACGCTCTGAAACAAAACAGCGCTTCACTTCGGGGTCTGGGCAAGATCAGACTTCCCTCCCTCCCTCTCCCCTCCCCTTCTGTGCCGTCCCTCCCTCTCTGCCCCCTCCCTGCTTTTCCCCTCCCTCTCTCCGGCAGCAGCTCCGGTCCCTCCGATCCGCCCTGGCAGCCTCAGGCTGGGGCCGCTGCCGGCTGGGGCTGCCCGGGACCGCTCTGTCCGTCCTGCCGTGCCCTGCCATCCCTGCCCATCCCTGCCCATCCCTGCCCATCCCTGCCATCCCTTCCCAGCCCTGCCCAGCCCCCCGTGCCCCCCGGCCCGCTCCCACCGCCGCCCCGGGCACAAAAAGTTGTGCGGAGCTCCGAGGATGGGAGCGCATCTGCAGCCGCTCGCCCTGCGGCTCCTGGCGCTCACTTTCCCCTTGGTGGCCAAGGGTTTTCCCGACGAAACCTTGGAGAAAGCCGCGAAATCCGAGGGATATTGCAGTCGGATCCTGCGAGCCCAAGGCACCAGGAGGGAAGGGTACAATGAATTCAGCCTCAGGGTGGAGGGCGATCCAGAATTTTACAAGCCTGGAAACAGTTACCGGGGTAAGTTGGACATCCTCTGCATCCCATCCTAACGGGAGTGGTGAGGATAAGTGGCTCTGGAGCTGTAAGTGTCTCTGCCTGTCATCTCCGGATCCCTCTTGGCGTGTGTGTGTGTGTAAGTGTGTGGGTTAAGGCAGGGTGATATTCCCCCACGCATTACTTTATTGGGGATGCTTCCATGACAAGTGAGAGGAGTTGGGTTTCAGTGTATCACTTTACTCCCAAGCATTCCTCATTAAGAGGAATTTCCTCTCTTTTACGAACCCTCTCTACCGGCTCGGCGCTCGCACAGGATCACAAGTTGCAGCGATGCAAAGCACTCTCTTCCCCTTTTTACCCACTTCTGTGGGATTTCTTCCACTCCCTTTAAATATAATCCAGTGCATGAGAGAAGCTTTAACACTCAGCAGGAAGGAGAGGAAACTCGGAGCTGATCGTTCTTGCCCTGAAGTATGAATGTTAATATAATGAGTTAGCATATGGGCAAACATGATGCAGCACACTGCCAACTTCCCACATTTTCCACTTACGTTTATCCCACCCCTTTCTTTTTTTTTTTCTTTCTGGGTAAATGAACAGATGGTTCAAACAGGAAAGAGGCAGAGACAGTTCTAACGACCACTGTAAATAAGAGATGGAGGCACTGGTTCTTCCCTGAGCATGTGACATACAATCCTTGGAATGAACTTCCAAAGCTCATTTGGGTGTATTTCACTAATTAATAGGCAAAGACAGGTTTTGGTCACTTTTCCTGCCTCACTATATAATGCCTTCAGAAATAAACCTTCTTGGAATGTACTGTTAATCTTGTACTTTAAAAGCACTTTAAAATGAATTTGGAATTTTTAAGGTACCATAACTAACATACTTTTAGGAAAAAAAAACTTATTGGGAGATTCTTCTAAGTGTTTCTTAGAGCCAGGGTAAAGAGCAATGTTTTCCCATTGCATGACCATGGGAATCTTGTATACAGGGAAAAAAAAAGTGTGCATGTAGCATAATCGTTGTGTTTCTTCAAAGGCTGAGAAATACCTCTGCAGCAGTGGTTCACCTGTTTTGAGCACCAGTCTGTAACTTTGCATGCCATTGATATGATTTTTTTCCTAAAAATAGTTTTATTTTAACATGATGTGAGGAAATGGACATTACCCACGTAGCTGTTCCAGACATTAGGATTAGTACCTTGAGTCTGAAAGATTTCATGTGGCATGTCAGCTTGACACATCTACTAAGCAGGACAAACATGTGCCAAGTTTTTTGATAGTGACAAATAGGAAGATTCTTTAAAAGTTTTGGAATTCACTTCTGTGAAAACATTACTGGATATTTTCAGTCATCTGCCAAAGAAGTTTCTATTGCATAGAAATGTAGGAAGAAAGAAACTCCCAGATGAATTAGCAGAACTAATTTTCTGGAGATATTAGGTCTTGGCATTAAGAACTCAATTAATAAAATCACATTAGGCTATTATAGCTGCTTGGAAGTGAAAAAATTACAGCTAATAGTAAAAAGTTAAAATGTAGAACAGAGCATGTACCCACGTTTCTGATACTTAGGACTGAAGTATTCAAGGTGGCACATTGGGGTGTGTAGATTTTTCTTTAAGGACACATTCCTGAATGGTTGGAAGAACACAAATAAATGCTGCTGCAACATAGCAGGAGTTAAAACTGACAATAGAAAGTTTTGAGAACTTGTTTTCAAAGGTGCTTCTACAGTCCAACTGGAACTTTATTACTGTTTTATGCAAAGGATGGAAAATCCAAGTAATGATTAAAAGAATGAGATATTGTGACATGTCTGTGGCATTTTGTTTGTTTGTATTTATTTATCTTCAAATTACACTATATGCAACATGACAGAAGAGTTGCACAATCTCCTTAGCATTGGAGCCAGATATTCCTGTTTCCATGGCCCCTGCTTGGATTGATGCAATCTGGGTCCCTGGCACATTCCCTAGCGGGCTCTTGGAACAAACGAGTATTTTCAAGGTGGATAATCCAGGAATATATACATACACACGTGCATGCAAATGTGCTCCACAGAAGTGTCAGTGTAGGGACATCCATTTATCTTCGTGGATGTGAGACATCAGACTCTGAAACTCTGCAATGACTGGAGGAAACATCTCAGCCCTCTTGCAGAGTGGGAATCAGGAGCTCACAGCTGCAGAGTGGGAATCAGGAGACCCCAGCTCACAGCTGCTCTTTGCCTCTGGGGAAGGTTTTATAGCTCCCCTGCAGTTATTCACCTTTAGATCAATCAGAATCTGTTTGCCCTGAGGGGAAACCCTGGGTGGATCTGTGTGTAAGGAGCTGTGAAGCCTGGGTTTTCCACCTCTGGAGCTGTGAGGGAAACAGCAGCTCTGGGCACTGAATAACTTCTCTGAGTGGATATTCACTCCTCTGCCTGCCGACACTGGCAGCAGTGAATAAAGGGATGTTCTGTCAGACAATTAAAAATGTCCTCCTGTAGGACCAGGTCTTCCCTTAGGACCAGCTTTGTGGACACACCATCCTAGGGTCGAGGTCCTCTCCTCCCTGCTCGGTGCCTTCGACCTTGTTGGAGCTGTTCTCGCTTCCACTGAAGGTCAGAGCTCTGCATTCAGAGGCACAAATGAGCCTTAAGTTTGGATGGTGATACAGGGTAATGATCCTTGAAAATATTCAGTCCTGGCTTTATTGATTGTAGAGTTAGATTAATGATCGCATGAGATTTCCATGAATAAATGAGGGAAGTTTCATGCTATTAAAATGTAAATAAACTTGCTTCTACAAAAAGGCAGAAATAGTACGCCCATTTCACGTGCTAACACGCATGTGTGAGTAGACATAGACATACTTTCTGCTATGATATCATGAAGTTATTATTCTGAAGAAGAAAAGGAGTACTAGACTAGTTATAATCCTTACATACACCTCCTGTGTGGATGCTGTTTCTGGTTTCAATGGAATTTCCACTTGTAGGTCAGTTCGCTTTCCCAGTTTTTGAGGAAAGGCTCATTTAAGGTGTTGTGCTCCATTGCATTGGTTTGGGGACTTCTAAGGAACGTTGAGCCTTTTTCTTCCCATTTCTTTCTTCCCCCCTCAACGTGCAAACTCTTTGCAAACAGGCACTCATTCTGTAACTACATCAGCCACTCCCACGTCCCACAAAACACGGATGAAATTTGGAAGGTGTATTTGTTGGTACTTGTGCCACGCACAGCACGGGATGTGCAGTTGTGTAGGATGAGAAAAGTCAGATTTCCTGCCTGAAACCAAAGGAGCAACTGCTTTGATCACCCCGCCTTCAGCCTGGGACACTGGGGAAGGAGGAGCGTGTTGAAGGCGTGTGCCAAAATGCAACTTGTAAAGAAATTAGAGATTTGCCGGAGGGATGGAAGCGGACAAAAGTAACTGCTGATATGTAAGTGAAGAGAAATTTCACTTTAAAGTGAAATCCTTAACTCCGAGGGTTGCACTGAGATTTAACTGATCCTTGCAGGAAGTTCATATTTTTCAGTGAAAGTTAATTGGTGTGAAGGCGGTGTGAGCAGGACACAGCTGTTGTTTCAAATGGCAGAGTTTAGCCCAAGAACTCTCAGCCCTTATACAAAAAAGAGCCGCTCCCTTGTGAGAAACAGATGTGACCTGACAGCTTCCCAGTGCTGGAGCACCCGCTCCAGAGCACGGCGGATCAAGCTGGGATTTGGGAATGCTCGGGATAAAGGCTGGTGCTGTGACCCTGTGTGTCACCTGAGCGCACCCATAGCTCCGACAGAAACCAGCCCAGCCCAGGTGTCACCGCTGTTCTGGGCTGCCAAAGCACACACATCCCAGAATGTGCGAGTCCCAAAGCACAGTGCCTAAATCCCCAGGACCTGTGTCCATGTGTCCCT